AGCTTTAACATAATTTAATAGTGGAGATAGGAAAGCAACGATAACAATTTGATTATTTCTGAAACGGCTTGTATTTACTTTATATCGGGTATTTATTTTTTGGGCAAAGCGTTGCTTTAGAGAAGCCAAAATAATTTCTTGTTGAGGTATTCGAATTGTTTATGCAAAGCGTACCACGGCCATGAATTGTACTCTACCTCTGTATAGACACTGATCCTATAGAATTTAAGTCTGCTGTAGATGTAGTATCGAATGTTGTAAAAAGAGACCTATGCAATATGGTATTTAGGCGATCACCTATTCAGAACTTAGTCGGAGCCAAATTGTCTTATTTCATTTGGGTTACTAGCTTATAACTGCCTAAATCTCAAGTCATTGATGTTTATACTACAAACAGATACCAGGGTCACCTTGTGTGCAGCTACACTAAAACTTTGCTTTTTAGTCAATTGTACGAACGCTGACACCGGGGCAACCGCTATATTGTTGCATAGACGTTTCAAAGTATCCTAGTATAAAACAGCTAAAATGCTTAGTAAACAGTTGGCGTTGCTAATAGAGTACCGCCTTCATGGATACCGCTGCTCTTACGCGAACGTCAGTTGAATAAAGTTACTATAATATAATATAACAAATACAGGAAGTGAAACGATACACACCTCAATAAAGGAAAAGTGTAATACACACAATAGATCTACTTGACTCAAAACAACTGTGCAAGTTTATCAGCAAATATCGAAAACAGTAGATAAAGTAAATGCATATCATTTACAAAAGAAGGACAAATTAAATAGTGGAAGATATGTAGAACGCTATACCAGGATGCTGCCAAAGATTTTTTCAATACCAAATTACCATAATATGAGAACTTTTGTCTACTACTCATGCTTAATGTATTCTGTCCAAAATAGGGTACAAAGTCTCAGGCGGATGAACCAGTTAATAAAGCCATCACATCAACCCTCAGACAAAATCTCTCGATAACAATCCTTTCCAATGATAGAATCTACAGTGCATCGAGGAAACTCGATAAGAAAACACAAACACTTTTTATACTCACACGTATATAGACAAAACATAAATTTCTCAACGAATATGCACTGAAGAGTAAATATACACTTGCTCAAGTATACTCTATATATATTCAATCTATAAATCTAATCTTCCGCAAGCTGACAATGCAACTTGGTAGTTTAACGAACGATAGACTATAGGTTTTCATACGGCTTAATTCTGCAATTCGGAGAAATGTATTTGGCTCTTTTGGAGCTTCTTTCTATGCCCCTCATCATCTGCAGCACAGTACCCACTAGCCATTTACCAAAGAGAGCATACTGACTACCTACTGCTGGCGTCTGGTTACCTTTAGAAACCATGTACACGCAGGTCAAGCTTCATTGCTGGTTTGTCCTAGTTCTAGTCTTAATTTTCAATAGGAAAGAATGGAAACTTTTCAACCCCTGTCGTCACCGCCACCGCCGCCGCATGGAGCGGACGGGTGAGGTAGGGAAAGAGAAAAGTCTTCACTTCACGAGGGCCATTCTAGTTTGGCGATGCGGAAAAAGGAAGACAAACTTAACACCTGCTTGTGACCCGCATGCATCAACTGAGTTTAGTCATTCATCGCTACCTTCACACTTCTTCCGGTTTACGCATCTACGACGCTTTTTGAATATTTTATTGTTTCCATAAGCGTTAACGTTAGTAACGTCGGCAACAGTCACGGCTTCACTAAATGAAAATCACTGTCGTGATTCGTCGTCAATTTTTTTCACAGAGATTATGCCAAGGGTGGTTTTAAATACTGACGTGAGAAAAAGAACGATGAGAGGGAGCGCGAAAGGTTTACCTAGTTGACGAACACAGTCGAGAACATCCGTCTGATTTGCCCTAGTGTGAACAGGCAGCTAACACGGTGACGTGATTCCTTTAGCCAGTTGAGCTTCCTTTTAAGATGCCTATTGATACGGCGTCAGTTTTGTGACTTCCAAAAGAAGTAAGCGCTCCTATGGGCGATATAAAAACGAGCGATAAAACGACGACAAAAGATAAAACAATTGTCGAGCTATTCAGTATTTTGTGTATTACATTTGCTTGCGTCTTTTTTAATGCATAGAGTTTTAGTGGTAATCTTGCGTCGAATAACTAAATCCGTATCGTTTGTTTCTACGTCCCATATGAGGGGACTACCTACTACAAGTAGACGGCGTATACAATGTCACCTCAGTAGTCGTCACCTTTCGAGTTTTATAAACTCTTAAATTTGCGATAAACGCTATTTATGCATTGTCAAGCCCTGTAGATTTTGAGCTTCGCTATAAAAGCTCCTTTCCTATCAGGTCTATCAAATTAAATCTATCCTCATGTTTCGGCATCCTCTCAAAGACATCATATTTGCAGCTTTTTTTTTTCAATCTGTTACTATTTTTATCTTTTAGCAGAAAAATAAAAGTAGCTTAATCGAGGGGAGTACACCGCTTGTATTTATGCAGTGAAATTATACTCTACGTTTATTGTTTAATACACATATTTACATGCTTTTCACAGAAGTCCATGATAGCTAGTTTCGGAGAAATAACTGAACGTTGATTAGCTGTATTATATAGTGCTCAGCAAAGCTGAGTGTCCTACTTAATTTTTGACCCTAAACCTTATGTGTATGCGTCACTGGGTTTTTCCACTAGACCAATTCCAATACAACAGGCAGATCCATTGTTGTGTTCTATGTAGAACCAATTTCCCGTTTCGACCTAATCTATTGGAACGATATCATTCGAAGCAACTGTATCTCATTTTTCTAGTTAATTTCTCAATTAGTCCACCTTTTTGAATGAAAGGTGTATTAAATTGCATTTGTGCGACTAACAGTTCATTTTCTATATCTATTACCTGTGCAGTAATCTAAACGGTATTCTGATCTTTTCATTTTGTAAATAGATCTTCCTAATGTTTCTGGCTGTACGTGCTGTATGAACAAGTCCTCTGTATGGCCCGTTCGGTGAAAACACCAACGATTACACCCCCCTCCCTCTCCCCGGTAAAAGATCTAGGTGGATGCGGAAGTACTACGATTATCATATGCGACAGTAACTATTTGCCAACGCTACAATTCGAAGCAGTGACAGTCGCACGCCCATGGTTACTATGGCAACCCACTTGAAGCACCACGCATGCATCCGAGACCCATGTTGTTTCCATAAAAATAATGCGCATATATTTGTCTAAGACGAATATCAGCTTATGAATGTTACAATATCTATAGAGCTATTTTTGATGAAAATCATCGACTTTCTTTAATTCTTTTATTAATAAAAAATATTAATTAATAAAAACCAAAAAATAAGGAACTCGTAGATTTAGGAAGATAGAATATAGAAAAGGAAACTAAAGTACCAAAACTAAACAACAAAGCTTTCCTTTGAGGTATATGCACTCGTAATTATTCACATAGGTACGCATGTTTCTTCTTTTAGGAAAAAAAAAAGCTTTTCTTTTATCATGCATATAATAAGGAAGACTGGTCGTAATTTACTTCCCGGAAGTGAAGTCGTGTCATCGGTATCTTTCAACTCCTTCCATAAATACGATCGAAGCAATAAAGTTACGATTCGCTTTTAAAAAGGGACCTAGCAAATAATTCAAGCTAAATTTCGATTACCGGCTAAAATGGCTTCTTGAAGTAATAGTCGGTTTTCACTATTTTGGAATAATTCATCGTTCACAGAATGGTTAATGACATGCTTGACTTGAAAATCATTATTAATTCAACGTAAGCAAATCATTGAGGGTCTCAAAACTGAGGACAAAACAGAAGTATAACTGGGATCCTCAAGGTATACTTGAAAAAAGTGTATCTATCTTCTATTTCATCCCTTTAAAGAAATTTATCGGTACTCTGCTGGTTCTTATCGGGCTATTTTATTAGAATCAGTAATACTCCAGTCGCTTCACTCATGGTGGGCGTGTCTGTTGGTAATAGTAAGCCAATGGACGACTAGAAGGGGGCCGATGCTGCTGAAAGTTCTGTTGCGTTACGGCGGCCTAGATTAATCATACGCAAAACTACAGGTTGTCATGTTGAAACAATTGTGGTTATCATTGTAGCTTTACGTAGGTCTATTTCACTTGAGCGATGGTTATTATCTATGGACTATTCGTTGACAGGTTTATGTTAAGCCCAACGGTTTTCTCACTCTATGCCAGTAGCCACTATTTCGCGAAATCGGCATTCAGAGTGCCCTATGGCCGAAATAACTTATAAACAAGTTATTTCGGCCATAGGGGAATGCCGTCATTCCTCTCCTTTATGTTATATGAAAATCATGTTTTGTAAATATTACGTTATTTAATAGAACAGCGCTTTACGACCAGCTAAAAGCAGACTATTATGGATAGACAGGCATATACTGGTTAAGTTGGAACTACTGTGGTAGGCTGCTGAATTACATCGGGAATAATTCTTTACTGAGTCACGCTTACGACTTTTAGCGCCTAAAAGCCTTTTACAGAATGTGTCTGTGCCGCCAACATCAATATATCTCTGCATACGCTCGTGTAAATATTTAGTCCAGCGGCGGTGATCATCGATAGCCATAGGTAGATGTTACTAGGTAATAAATAACACGTAGACGTGTTATGACTGTGGTAAGCTAGGAACCCTTCAAACGTTGTAGGCTATAAAATCAGACTACACGCACATATATATAAATAAATATATATATGGCTATTCATTATGTAAGTCCTTTCGTTATAATAGCCGAAGGGATAGTTACTTAATCTAGTCTAGTTTTAAGATCTTTTCTTTCAATTAGATTTGCGTTTTTGTCTTTATTTACTAACCCAAGGGAAATGGAATAATGCAGGTTTTCATGGAATGAACGTATTTAATAAAGGAGTGCTTCACATAGCACTTTCTATGCGTTATTTCTATATAAATACGTATATGGAGCGATTACTAAACTTTTCAATATTTATAGTATAAAGTTACGACTCAGTTTGCCGGGCTACGAGTAGACTTACTTATTTATTTTGAGCGTGTATGCATCATCTTTAGTATGTTATGGTCATCCTTGGCAAAAACGAGCTATGTTGTAGCAGCTGCGGCGATCGTAGTTCTGGGTACCCTCTCTAGCTGGATTGCCGTACTAATACATATAAGTACATAGTATTTACAAAATGTTCAACTGCAGACGTTGTTAGTCGTGGGAATTGTCCTTGCATATATTTGATGCCATCAACATGAAGAACATTAACCAGAAGTTTCAGTGAATGAGTAACCTAATCTGAAATCGCTCATATTCATTTATAAGTAGCAGATAACTTAACATTGATAAACACCTGTACAGATGGTACTCTCTATAGCCATTTGCCGAATTGAAAGTGTGCACGTATTTTTATTTTACACTCAGCACTTCACGTTCGATCTGTTACATGTTCATAATACATGTATCTAGAAGAAGACAGGAATGAGTGTGTAGTGAACGATCTATCTTCTACTATATATAGATGATGTACAAGATTTCCAAGGAATGTTTCTGTAAACAAATCAAAAATTGTTCGTCTGCTTCTAAGTTATCGATTTGCTAGAATTTCAAAAGCCTGTTTTCGCGCCCGTCCCGCTACAGTTGTGCAGGTTGACAGTTTAATGCGTTTGCCATTGTCAGTTATGCGGAAAGGGCGTTGTAAATACTGCCCATTGCGGGAAGTGGGATAAGTCAAAGACCCAATCGCCGATCGTGTGAATTGCTATAAGTTCGATTGTAATGCATACCACGTTCATTACGAAGCCACAGCGTACCTGTCAGCCAGATGAGCAGAAGTAATAGAATGATAGTTCTGAGGATAACCAGTTTAAAGTTGATAACAAAGCTACTTTGCCAATACCGGGGATTTCTGTTGAACGAATGCGCGACTTACCAAAAAGAAATCTAGTATAGTTAAAGTAGCACTGGTACATTTTGATACAGACAGTCGCGTTGTACAACTAAACAACATATCTACATGCGTACTTAAAAACTAGATGGATGCCTCTTAAAGAGTTAGATCATCTATGTGTATAGGTAAATGTATCTGAATTATAGATGGACATGAAGAATACCATATCTGCCGTAGGGATACCAGAGTGTTCGTAGATAACGGCATTTGGCGGAGTGGCAACTGGAAGCATGAACGCAAACGATGAAGAAATTGCGACTGGCATCATCAGCTTGAGCGGATGAATACGCAGACTGGACGCCTGAAAATTAGAAACTAGTTTAAATTAACGAAGAGAAGATATACGTTACAGTGGTGGTCGATAAATTACGTGTCACCTCTGTTACTTGTACCTCACCTTTGTGGATGTAGTGGTCATAAGTGTTTTCCTATCTATACGCATAAAAAAATAGAAACTATATCAGCCTGTCCAGAAAAATATCGACAATTATTCAGCCAAGATTGAATATTCCTTTATATTTCAAAAATCTTAAAGTCATTATGCACCATTTACCTTCTACCATTTCTCTGATAATACCATAATTCCATCACTATAGGATTTATAGGGCAAAACCTGTGACAATTTACATTCCTCCATTGAAACTAAATCAACAGCATTAAGATAGTTCTGCGGAGAGCAGAACAGATGATAGCCTGGTAGCAAAGGATCTGGGCTACAGCCGGGGGGGATGCATTAAAGCTTCTCGCTCATTTTTGCCGGGCAGCTGAAGATGTATGTGGTGGAACATTGCTAAGGTCGCTTTTTCTGTTCACTAATTCGATTTTTTAAACGGTTTGTTTTAATTCTGTGAATTTAATCCTGAAACAGCCGTCTGGCCAGCCGGCAGCAACTTAAAATGCACGATTCCTTTACAATTCTACCAAACACTTAGCATGACCTTTTCTGGCATCAGTTTGGGTTTTACCACAGATCGCAGAGCAGATTTTGTTTCGTTTTTTTTTTTATCTGCACTTTACTTTAGCACATAATCCAATTTTTCGTCCTCCCAACTCAATTAGTTTAAAAAATGACTCGATTTTTTATGCTTCTAAAAAGAGTAAACTCTGCCTCAAAGAATTTAAAACTGCTTCGTAATCGATCTTTAGTCTGTTGGCGATATCATGGCTATTTGCAACTTTTTCCATAATTTAATTAATTTTTCCGTAATTCGTCGGCCATTACGAGAAGCGCATCGAAATTTTGAAAATCGAAGGGCCATTTCTTCCGATAAAGCATCCTTACCATAGAGGGAACATTTTTTTTATTGGCCTGAGCCGCTTTTGTCTAATAACAAAGTTGTAGAATAAAACAATTATTTACAGGCGTTTCACAAAATTTCAAGTCAAAATATAGGGTTTGTTATTGCCAAATGTCAACTTCCAAATGAGACTGACGCTGACCCAACGGGACTTTTATCACCTGCGACTTGAGGCCTTAAAGCCATCTTGGTCAATACATTTTCGACAAACCAATATAGTAGTCTGTGTTTAAACAGCATTTACAAAGTTTTGTTCAAAAGATGTATGCACTCATGTATTTTTAACATGAAATTTTCTTCTATTCTGTACCTTTTATATTGTACAGTGTATACTTTGTCTTTTCTTTGTGACTTCTTATTATGCACTATGAAGTGTTCATATCGTCAGCGTGCATTCGGCAAGTCTGGTCTCGCCTCATTCTGACCCGAGTTCCTACATGTCTGATTGTGGGCCAGAAGAAAACCGAGAAAGATCCTTTTTTGCTACCACGATGCAGCGGCGTAAGTTCATAGAACCTACACATTATATAGCACAGTTATTAATCATCAGATCAATATCCAGTTTTGGGGCACGGAACATTACCAGGCAAAATAGGCTAAATTGGCTATTGGCTGATTTGGAAACCAACTACTAAATTACTGACTTTTAGCACCAGAGAACGCGGTAGCATTACATTTGGGTTTATGTTGATTCATCTCACTTGACCCGTTCTCACCTGTCTATCTAGCGAGTCTATCTTCGTGCTTTTGTATAAAACACAAGTTGTTTAAGGCTTAAATAAATAAGTCTCTAGTTTATTTTGTTGGGTATTACACGAAATTGTGACTGTTGTTTTATGTGATATACAAATGCGTAGTTTTATATATGCAGTTTACCTATCAACTGCTCTTTTTAACATCATTCAGACAAGTTTTACAAGTACAAATAGCATCCACCAAAGATCTCCGCCAAAGGTAGATGAACTAAAATATTCATAGACTGTACCCCAGTACGTGACAGAATATCATAGCATTTCCAATTGCCATAAAAATAGCTGTAGTAGGGCAATTTTCTAGTAATATATAGGACAGTTAGCTTAGGACCAGTTCGAGTAATGTCAACAAGTTAAAGCGTCGATTTTGTAGGAACGCACAAAATAACCTTATCTAGTACCATTTTCGTTTTTGTTCTATTTCAAAGTAGAGAACCTTTGTAAATCAGGCGGAATGTTCCAGATCCAAAAATTATACAGCGTTTATAATAAGTACACATCTAGGCAGAAGTGAATTGTTCATAGTTTTAGTCTAGCCATAGTTTCCTTTACTAATTGGCTGGCTTTGAACCTGAATATCCCTTTCAAGGTAAAGAAAATCGAAAAAAAAACCGGTAGGAATAGCATTCGTTCTAATTTCGTATCTAATTTATTTTTCTCACACATTCACTACAAGGAACGAACTGCCTGCAAACGATCAGACATAGTTAAAAAAAAAATCGAAAACGTTCTCCAAATAAAGCAAATGGGCCGAGTGTCTAAACAGAACAAATCCCAATATGCCGGTTAATAACAAACCAGCCATTAAAAACGCTGCTGATATTGCCCTAATCCTGACTCCATTAGCTTCAATATACTATTTACGATACGCGTGTTCAAAAACACTGGATATGTTAAGTGGGATTCTCTCATAATGATGTAGCTGGTGAAAAGTAGCAGCAAAACTACTTTTAGGCTTTTTTTTTTTTGACAAATAGGTGTAATGTAGAGGCAATATAAAAATATTAACAACATCGTCTTCAAAAGAGTTTAATATAACGTTTCACGAAGTAGACAGGTTTTTCGTTAGGATCTATCTCTTTTCATGTTTCGAAGTATACCTTAAAATGCGTAATGTCTTACGCTATTTGAAGCGGCTTTGCTTTCATTTAGTATTACAATAATATTCAGAGCATCAGCCAACGGGTTTAGGAAGTAGCGGTAACGAAATATATCAAAGTACTAGTTATTCAACTTCGTCGACATATCTGCATACTACGTAATAAAAATACTGCACGGACACTAAAAAGGTAAAAGGTAAGAAGCCGGTGTAAGCTACAGAAACACTGAAACCCTTTTTGCTCTTTAGTTTCTCTAATTATGGACGCTTTTAGTGGGAGGTTTTCGATTTCTTTGTGTTTATTTTGATCAGCAGATCGATATTTCGTGATAGTCGTGGTCTTGTTCGACGGGCCTACCGCCAATCATTGGTCTTAGTTTGTCAGACACTAGCTTTCTAACCGTATACGTAATTACAGGTTGAACGTACCTATTTTTGCAGGGAAATTCGGTGTATGAGCAGGCATAGCTCGTAAGGCATATAAATGTTCTGGACGCGGACATGCAGAACCAACTACTAATTCTAGGAACTAATATGACCACGCTTCGAAGTCATGTTAAGTGTGTGTGGACAGCGGATAACGCACGATCTTCATTCCGTAACATAATCCTCTCTTGCTGTCGCACCTCAATTGTTGACATAGGCAAGTACTAAATATGAACTAAGTCACGATTGTACGACTGAATACATGCACACAGCTTACTGTAGCAAATTCCTCCCCTCATCGAAAGTTCGTCCTAATTAGAAAATAACGATGCAGAGCCGTTTCTTTAGACAAGGAAACAATCACTGGTCGCCGTTAGTTTATTTCATAATTGTTATACGGCAATAGCTGCTACCGTGTTTGTCACAGTGTTGACCAAGTAGAGCTTCGGAGTTGACCGCTCATCCCTATCTACCCATTCAACCATTGCAATTGCTCTTAACGTTATTGGATAGCCAACACTTTAATCAGGCACGTAACGACACTGTTTCCAACAACGACTTTGTAGACGAGATTGAGTGTATTTCATTTAAGCGGGCCTGAAAGCGGAGGGCGTCTCAATGTAAAGTTCCATAGGTGGATGCAGTCTTACCAAATAAGCTGTAATAGGCAGTAGCAGCGATGCCGTCGCCGAATTTGAGCAGAGTTCGGTGATGAAAGCTGTTCCTACTGTGAGTATTACCACAAGAACAAACGGCGGAAGTCCCTCCAGCTGAGCGATACTTTGTCCCAGCAAACGAGAAAGGCCGGATTTCTGTCAGAACAACATTAATCGTACTTATGTATGTGTGCCCATCAATAACACAAACATTTATGGACAGAGCGTTAACGCTCCGGATAGATTTATATGGCGCGGTTCATATCTCGATGTAGTACAAACTGTTTGTTTTATTTTGTTGTACAAAGTTTTTTTTTTATAACTGAATTTTTTTTTACGTTCAAGTGTAAATATCATCTCGTTCAGCCTCAGCTTTTCCGTACACAATGTTGTCTCGTTAGTGAAAGTCTATCCATAGAAAATTACATACCTTAAAGATAAAACGAATAACATTTTCGTTTTATATATTAGAATACCAACCTCTGCTGCAGAGGCCATCGAAAAACTAGCACCCATTAGCAATAGCACGCCCCATGGAATGTATCCCTGAACAAATTTCCAGTCGAGGAGAGCGGGCCCGGTGAAGTGGTTACGAGGATCGGATGGGATGAGGAACATCAGAACGGTAATACCGATTGCAGGCGTAGCGTCCTTGATTATGCTGGGCCATACGAAGGAGAAAAGATCATTGACGTAGAAATAAAAGTTGATGAGCTGATTAGGTTACGTTAGCAGACTCAAGAAAACTCTCGTAAACATTCGTATCAAATTGAGAGCAGAGTGTCTACTCCGTATTTCATTATAACCTAGCTTTCTTTACCAGCGTCCCAGTAGTTCGCTGATTGTTTACGTATTCAATGGTTAAGTGGGGCCCACAGTCGGGAGGCTACGACGTTTTCACCTATCGATAAACAGTTTGTCGTACATCTAGTACATGTTCGTAGTTGATTTGGGTTTTATACCGGCATTCATAATACACTAGATATGCTCTCGCCGTACCGGTATATAATGTACTCAGTAATACTACGTGTCCGTGAAGTGTCGCTGCGTTACCATGGCACCCTTGTGCAACACGCTCTATAGTCAGGTTGTACGAACAGTATCCTAATGTCGTTGTCTCCGCAGGTACAATTGATGGAGCATCAGTGAAGGAACTAGTCACTTTCGGAATACAATGAAGATGACATAAGTCTTCCCTCTAGAGCAGCATATTTCAGAATAAAGCTGGGCCAACTTGTATGTACTCTGTACACCCGTATGTGCATGAATATTATCACTCTATGAGAAGGAACTTAATTGGACAAACTTTTCCTAGCATTTGCTGAATGGTGGAGGTGCACACATTTCAGGTTGTTACACGTACACACAACGACTGAACCTCGATAGTGCGAATGACTTCTTTATTTTACTGTCCTTAGCTTAACAGAATCATATCACAAAAAAACAATATGAACCATCTGGTGTTTAGAGCAAATGCTCAAAAAGTAAAAAATGCAGGATCAATGGGTGACGACACAGCTGAGCCGCATGATTTCTGTAAATCCGGCTATAGTATTTAAGCTACAGAATCTGTTTTTATTAGATCAACACGTACATCGAGCAACGTATTGAAGATTCCCGTGTGCCGATCCGACGGTTTTACCGACTAGGTGCTACGGCAGAGCCCATAAACTTATTTTGTGATTTATGTAACACCTCACAAAAATTAGCACTCCGTTCCGCAAGAACCACTGACCGCTGTAAATAGAAGTTTATTAAACTAGAAAAAAAAAAAAAAAAAAAAAAAAAAAGCTATTCGGTAGCAGTTGACCGAAATCGCTCTAAAAAAAACAACTGTTTTCTAGCTATTCAGCTGGCAACTGTTTGCGAAATTTGTTTTTGAGCCACACTGATTTCACCAATGAGAATTTCGGGTTTTAAACAAACGAGCCAGCCGGGAAGTCTGGCTTTCTTTCACTAAACGAAACATAAGAATTGCGAACGCCGAATGTGTTGTGCGACCCTCAAATAATAGTTCGGCTGACCTTTGTAGGTAGCAACCGACGCTTATTAGATAAGCGTGCACGTAACGCTACGTACAAATAGGCTTTGCCACTAATGAATAACAGACGTGGTTTGTTCACTTCGATTACTGTCACGACGTTCGTCTGTCAGGCCTCGTCGTTGATCTTTATATTCACTTGCCAAAATGAGCATTGCTAAACTATCCGGTGCCACTTCGAGGCTGGCTCTATTTGACGAGATCGCTATACTCTTGGCCAAATGTTCTCTTAAATGCCCATCTGATACGATGACAAGTTCGTAATAACTTATGAATGATTATAACTAATAAGAAGCTATTGCTTGAATGACAACTGTTTCTTGAGGCGTTCATCTGGTTATTTTTTTTTTTTGCTTCGATTATTGATTGTCATCCGTCAATCTATAATAACAGTAGCTGAAGCTGATGGTATCGCCTGCTGTTCCCAATATGTGCGGGACATGTATCTCGAAGACTTGCATTATCGAATATTGTCAAATGCACGCGCGAGCTCACCCTGTCAGTTCACTGCTTAGCTGCTATGCAGTGTATGGAATCAATGATTCTTTTGTCCCCCTTCGATATCTACAGCTGTGAGGGTCGACCAACACATAGCACGATGCCTCCGAGGTCATTGTGTCTTGGCAACAAGGGTAATTTCGTCATCATCTAAATAGTATACCCATTCTTCTCTATATAGAATCGCCCTATATGAGCCTTTAAGTAAACACCTGTGAACGCATCCTGCCGCGCGAATTTGTATGCACCGCTAGAGGCACTGTGGCGTCCGTACGGATTCGTTATCTACGCTTGTTAACGTAACGCAGTGTATAATTGCAGTTCAAACAGTTGTAGATCACGGCTATCGGCGGTATTATCATATCGTCGATGTATAGCAGCGTTAAACTTTTTAAAATTGACGCTTGCACGGCTTATTGCTTTCACTACATCGTTCCGGCGTACGCATATGAATCATTGTGCCGATGGCAACACTATGCACGAACAAATCTTTTGGGATTTCAATAAAGATCATTAGATCGATGAATATCTTTTATGGCGCAAACTTCATCAGCTTCATTTGAGAAGATAGTCATGTGTTCGTATGGTATGGCACGTTTCTGAAAACCGACCTAATAATGCCTTCAGTTTCACGCCAGGTCGCGTTAGAAGATTAAAGTGATTCTCATGGTATTTTTTTTTTGTGTACCGAAAGCCTTACCGCCAGTAAGTTAAGAGGCAGAATTTTAATACAGAGTATTTCGCTGTGAAAAACCATTGAAGTGGCAGAATATAGCCACTGATCGATGCTATAGAGTATAAAAGACAAGATTATGCTGTTAGTGCAAATCCTTGATATCATTTGGGATTCTTGCGCAGTAAAAAGGAAGGACTACGTCGCGCTAGTGGGTATCGAGCGACTCCTATAGTATACGCACCCGTTGACGTCTATGGCTTTGCGGTTCACTTCGACTTATGGTTATTACTGTTGTTCTAGGTAGCATTTGTTTATTGCCGCTGTTAAAGCATCTGTCGGATCTGATTCGGACTATACGCTTAGGGAGTTCTCCGTGGAACGGTGCACACATGAGGAAATGTGTGGGACCCCGTTTCGTTTTGCCGAGCGGATCAGACAGAAGAAATCATTACAATTCGCTGCTTTAACGTATTTGACATAAGGGCTGGTAAATTTTTTCTCTGCTATCGCGTACCGATAAATCCGTTCTGGATTTTATTGATTTTAATAATTACCGGAAAGGTAAGATGCAACGGCTAATTCGTTTTGACTAACTGATAAATGTGCGGACCAACATCGGTACGGACCTACCGGAGCATTCTGCGTTAAGGTTGTGACTCGTCCTATACACTCGGACGTGGACATTGTGCGTTTGAAGAATGTGAAAAGGAAGTGTATAGCTTTTCACCTGGCCTTTAATTCATTTATCGGTGTGCCTATCTGTCTGATGCGGCTTCACCTGGAAGTCCATCGTATGCGCGGACTGTTGCGCTTTTAAAAAAAAGTATATTCATGAACTCATGGCTAGTTTCGCAGGCCAATTTTTAGGAAATCATACTGAAATTGATCCATTTGTTAGAAGCCAAGAAAGTTCACTAAATATCCTAGCAAATCATTTGCAATCATATAGTTGAACTCGATCGGTAGAATAACTCCATTCCATTCATTTTAACAAATCCTTTCCTACAGCATTGAGCAATTCCTTTTAGAAAGCTGATTACTATATTGTCACACTGGCTTATCTTAAGATCGCAGCATGGTACGCTACGCTAGATTGGCAAGCCTGACAACGTTGTTCATACCGTCTTGGTGAATTAGCTGCCACATCACCGTTGTGGTACCCATCTTGGATTTGGTAGTGTAATTACACATCCCAGATTTCTTCCGGACCCCAAATTTCGAGAGAAGCCCGAGCCTTTATGTAAGCCTTCGTGTTTGTTGCTTAATGAGATGACCGGAGTAGCTTTTCTCACTTCGTCTGCTCAAGGATCTATGGAAAACTTATGGTTTCCGGGAGAGGTTGAATTTGTGGGATTTGTTGGCTGGCAAGTATATTCCATTTGGATCTGTTAACTCGTATAAAAATAATAAGTACAGTCTAAAAGTTGTTTCGGTTCGTAAAAAAAAAACCTCTGCAAGTCTCCTCTGTCAAAAATCTTTCATTGAGTATTTTTGCTAAGATACTTTTGCGGCAACGTATCGAGCTGGCTCACTTTAACGTTCTCACAACTGTCTGCACAGCGTGGTCTGAAGCTGTTCATGAAGTTCACTTGAATAAAGTTATCAGTAGCTACTTAATCGTCCAGTAGGTCGTTGTGAGTTCACTTGCTCGAGTAATAACTTTTCTTTGGGTTCCAGGTACCATTTGGCTACTCCGAATTTCATCGAGTCGACTTTCTGGGACAATATTACTTTCTGGGAAAGCAATATTGTTAGACTAACATAATTTGGTGATTAAAAAACGTCTGCAAAAGGCAGCTATTATCAAAAGGCCTAATGGATTTACATATGAATTTAGAATAAAAAAGCAGTAAATCGATCGAAAGCTTAATTGTTCCTGCAGGAACGTATCGTCCTACAAATAGCTTGCGTAGCCACGTAGACTATTTCCTTACAATGGTCAATTAAAATCGTAATTCTTTGAGGCTACATCGGCAATTTGGGACGGAACCACGTTGAATAGCTTTAATCGTAATATTGGTCTTCGTAAAATTGATGACTTCCATTATCTTTAATAAAAGAATATACATTTAAGAAAGGTTAAGGTATTTGAGACGAAGTACACCCTACGGATCCCTGCAGTGGAAAACAAAAATCATTATTTAACACTAATAGGTAATCCTACATTTTCATACCATCCTTACTCTCAATGCGTTTTCTAACTATCGAACGCTGCAATAAGCAGCCATTAACAACTAGTAACAAAACTGTCGAAGGTTCTGCAGAAATAAGACACAGCTTTTAGGATCGGTTTAACGTCGATACCGCTCATAAGGTTGCCTAAACAGTACGCTGAACAGCCACTTTTACTAGAATTAATAAAAAGTAATTTCTATGAATCACTTCAAAGCTGAAGTATCTATCATGTCCCCTTCAAAGCTGCATTAACATTGAACACGTTAATTAATGAAAAGTGATAATCCGGTGGAAATGCAAGCCCTTCAGTGAACACTCTATCTTTGACATTGGCAACAATAGCTATCATCCTATACTAATATGTATAATAAGGTATCTTAACAAACAAACCTGGGCGGTATGGCTTGCTGAGGAAAAATTGCAACGATCATCAGCGCAAGTCAAGTTATACTGCTTAGATGTCAAAAGCGTTCTTGCCCTAAACAATCATGGAATAATTGAGCTTTGACCAATGCAACTGATGATCAGAACTCCGGTAGGTACAACTTTCTAAGATAAACATTTGTGTAAACAACTGAATTCATTTAAACATCATTATTTGCTAGCCAGATATTTGCAGTAGGATCATTTTATGTTTTTCATTTCATGGAAACCGGCACACATCGGAATGGGTTTCATAGAGCATACAGTAAGACGTTTTACTATGGTGCGCCTCCATAGTTTTTTTCAAGTGATCAGTAGTTTATACGTAGAGAGCAACAACTATACGAAACTGGCATACGACTGAAGGGCTAAACTTGAAGCTTTGCTTACCCTGAAAGCCATTCTTTGGAAATATAAACGTCCTCGCAGTGTCTATTTTATAACGAATAGGTGATAAGACAGCGAAAATGTCATATAGTATCTCAATTGTAGCTTATTGCATAGGTAGTAACGACCTTCGTTACATATAACCACTTTCCCTTAAACTCACTGCTTTTATCGTACCGTGCATGCATGCGTGCGTGCGTTCATCTTCTATTAGAAGGGACTCTTTATATTAGAAAAGTATCTTTGAGGCAAAACCGGACAGCTACCATAAGAAAGTGAGTGCTCGAAAAATGAGCTATAACCTATAATGGTCCGATATTCTTGCGTATGACGAACACCCATCGAGATTATATAGTCTTTTGTTGCTTGAAATGAATGGCCTACGTTTCAAAGTATTTCAAAAAAAAAAAACAAAACTTTCAATAACTTGTGGTCCGCGAGGACTCAAAAAATGGAACAACATTTGATTGTTTCAACTTGCAACGTACAAATTAGCAATCGATCTTAAAGCGAATATTTGCCACCAATTAAATAGTTTAGATAAACCTCCACAGTTAGTATTTCCTAGTCATCATTCGCACATTTGTGCACTTTGATAATATTGGACCAAAAAAATATTCTCTCAGTTATTAGGCCTGGCATGTTTGAACAGGATGTCAATATAAAAACCATCCAAAATCAAAGAAGTGATTGTTGAAAATTGACTGCGTGGTTCAAACCCAGATTCGAAGCCGCGATGGGAGCGAATGTCGGCCACGTTTTACAAACCCTCCGGTAAGGGACGTTACTGTTGGCACGTGGGGCTCTGCTATGCAAATAGTTGTGCATATCTGGGTGCGGCTTATGAATAAGTAATATCCAGTTTGTTTCAGTTTATCCCGAAGGCATCGTGTGCCACTTGTAAGTACTAAAAGGCGGCTCGCCAAATTTAAAAATGGCATCTTACACGAAGGGAGCATACTTCGACCCCGTAAGGTGTTTCTACAAAAATCAGGGAAGAAACGAATGACCTCTCTAGATAGATAGATCTCAAGTCAAGAAAGTCATAATTCGCCGTTGACGTATTAAAAAATATTTGATCAAAATAAGAAACAAGCTGACAAATAGTTTGGCAAGGTTTCATATATGGCTGAACTGTACGGCGTACATATAATGCGGGAATAAGCGCGGCCTGTAACAAAAAAGTCCTGATAGATACCATTGTCAAAAGACAATCATCAATTTGTATAGCTACACATTGCAAAGACCGCTTTGCAAGGCTTTGAGAAGGTCCTGATGTATGATTTAGATCTTGCGCCAACAAATTTTTTTCCCATTATTGACATATATATATATATATATATTTCTTTTTTTTTAAATTAAAAAAAACATATATATATATATGTTTTTTTTTAATTTAAAAAAAAAAGAAATATATATATATATATAGATAACATAAAAATAACGACTCTACACCGATACCTATTTAGTTCTGCGTAATGATCGTCTTATACGATACTTTCCAAGAATAGGAAATAGACCTTCCTATTAGAGCAAATTTAAACTAATATATGCAGACCAAATAAGATGCACAGTGTTAGCATAATAATCGTAATAATAGAAACTTACTTGCCATGTGGAATTAGTTGAGACCATCCAGGCATAAATCGTGGATTACGAAAGAACCAAATCAGAACGAGCAACCCAAACAAGACCACGACGGCGTATTCTCGAAAGGACATAGGGCCTAAATCCCGATATCGTCGGCGGATCATCTCTAAAACATCCTCGTAGCTCGATTCTGAGTCGGTACGTTTCTTGTACCTACGAATTTAATGGAGGAAGGCCCTTTCAAATATTCTAATCTCAAATGTTAAAAGCTGTTAATAAAATAAATGAATAACCTAGTGAATCTAAGCATGCTGTTTAGGGTATAAGAATGTGTAGATAAACCATAGCTAAATACTATATCGTGCTTCTTCTATGCATTTGACCATGAAGGCTCACTAATTATGTAGATCAGATCGCACTTCTATAATAACAATTCTTGTTTAGCTAAAATAAGATAAACATCTATTTTCTTCTATACAATCTTCGAGAGGATCTGTAGGTTACAATAGTGCATTATTTTTTTTTTATCAAGATTTGAGTTGTATTCTACCAGTTGTATTCTAGCAAACTTCTGGAGCTAAACATAACCTTTTCAACTTACTTCTTAGGCAATTCAAACAAATAAAGATATCCCCAAGCAAACAAAACGGCCAGAATCAATGGGGGAACATTGTACACCATCCACGTAGCAAAACTCAGTACATCGCAATCTGGAAATTTTCTATTGTAGTGTCCACAGGAGTGTTGAAGAGACAAAACAAGAATCAATACGATGTTAAACAAATTGTCATATCCAAAAATTGAATGGAAGTCTGAATCTCATATATATATATATATATATATATATATATATATATATATATATATATATATAAATATTCAGAGTTATAGAACAAGAGAAAAGTGAGCTAGAGGTTCTAGACAACAGTCGGACAAACATAATACTATTATTTATGAGAAAATTGACGGAAATGATATGTGAATACTTACTCTTCTATGATTCCGTAAAGGATAAGATTTGGTGCGGTTCCAAGCAGCGATCCTGTACCACCTAAATTCGCTGCGTAGGCAACTGCAAGCAACATCCCGCGCTGTAGCTCTCGACGATCGTTTTCCCTAAATACAATATATATATATATATAGTCAATACTTGACAGCGCAATGGGTTTATCACTTTTAGGACATTCGCCAAATATCTCGATTTCTACAAAGCTTCGCAGCTAATTATGATCACGGCTTGACCATGATTCAATTTAACGCCTAAATTGATTATTATAGCTACACGCTAAATGTGTATTGCAGAAAACCGTTATAGGTAAAAAAAAAACAGTGTTACCAGTGAGCAGAACGGTTATTTTGCTCACCAATTTCTGTCAGCGTTTTCGTCGACTCTAAAGGTAGAAGAACTTCCGCCGCGGTTAATGGAAAGCGAAGATGATGATGATCTATCTGCGACGGGATGTTCTAAATTAATTACGATAATTAGTTTTTTTTAGATAGTATGAGCACGACGTTGTCCTTCCTGTTGACAGCGTATGTTACGTCTTACAGATACACGAATCGTGGGCCTTTCTCAGTCCTATCCTAATCGACAAGAAAAGTAGCTGAATATCTACTGTGTTCTTTTTTTGCCTGTGTCTTGACTACCCTGTACTTCAGTGGATGCCTATATTGGGTCGACTCGACTATGTGAAACGTAATTGAAAACTGAGTTGTCAGCAAACTCAGCTTTGTACAATGCGCCGTCCCCTTAGAAATAAGGCGCCGCTTAAGAAATTTTATAGCAGATGCTCCTGCTCTTGATCCAGGGTCATACGGGTAATTCAAGAACTGACCGCCCTCATAAGGCAAACTGGTAAAATGCACGCATACAAATGAATGGAACGAAACTGCCAAATCGTGTCGTATTCTGTCCTAGTCTCCTCCATAGTTTCTACCCATAACCGACTCGATTGCAATCCACTGACGATGCATGTAGCATACAGAGAGTTGACCCTCTGCGCCCTTCTGTTCGGGCATCTATAGCAGCATAACGAATCATCGGATAGGGTAAAGTATTAACAAAGAAAAAAGATATTCGCTAATTAGTAAACCCCACTTCCTGCCAAACAATGAGAAGCTGTTAGAACGAAAATATGATTATGAAATGATATTATTATTATATACGTGATGATAATAACAATAATAATAATGATAAATAAGCAATGTCATTTTTAAACTCGTAATAATAATAATATTATGATGATTATGTTTATGGCGATGGTGGTTGTGTATAATAATGTTTTATTACTGAGTTGAGCTTCACTGCTATCCCTGTTTCTGCCAACTTCTTCGACGACAGAATCTACAATAGGGAGAAGCATTAGTACAGTTGCTATATTTGAAATCCACATTGATATAAAGGCCGCCGTTGTCATAAAACCCAGCATCAACCTGAAAAGGCAATACAAAGAAAAAAAAATTCTGCCTTTGAACATGAACGATCATAAATCATAAATCTTAATTAGATGAGAATGTCCTTCAGACTTCGTATGTACACCAACTTGGTCACGGGATTATTTACCATCACAGCGAAACATCACAACTGTAATTAATTAACTAGAATTTCACTATTTATTGTCTCTCTAGCATACTTTCAAGAACAGTTTGCTGGAATATGTATATATATATATATATATATATATATATATATATATATATATATATATAATAGTAATCCTGTATTTAACCTGCACAATTGATTCCGTACATGCAAAAAAAAGATAAGAATCATAAAATAACTTTTAAAAAATAACATCACCCGGCAACATATTACGCCGGAAATATTAGACCACCTCGCTAGTCAGATCTGCGTGAATTGGGACACCGCTTCACAGTTTTCACGTAGGTAAATCCTTTCCTCGATGTAGCTATACTACGAGTTACTCCTTAGAGCCAGCTGGCAACAGTGCGCAACTACTTCGCCGGTGCACTACGCGTCTCTAAGGCAAACACCCCGGACGGAAACAAACCCTCGTATATGCTTAGCCTCTACTGGCTGTACGACCAAAGAATCAATGCTCACTCGTAAATACTGTGAGAATCGACGCTGAAAAGTTCTCTTGCGGCGAGCGTCAACCGCACAGGACAACACCTTCCCAATTCAATGTGCTCGCATAGCCCATCTGATCTTCACGTCGGAGCAGGATGAAACGCACCGACAGATACCAATAGTCAGCTGATACGTAGTCTTCCGCGCAACTCCGAATGAACTGAGTCACATACGCGTAGATGTTTCGATTGGCACACCAAAATAACGCTTGTGACTAACACAAGATGGTCGACAAAAGACACACACTGTGGCCCATCTTCTCCAAGCAAAGAAGGGAAACAGGCAAAGAAATAAAAACAAACAACACAAGGCGAATCCAGCAAACTCTAATTATAGTCTCCATAGAAGGCTTTTGCTAATGCAGCGTACATCAGTATATAAAGATAGATTATTGCATAAAGTAGCTTTAAGTAGATCATCAATTTGTACTTCTAGGGTGGTCTTTTTGTAGATCTGTTCTCGCCAGTTCAACTTGTATGTAAGAATAGCCAGCTTTGGCCAGAAGCCAAAAAAAGAGTCTAAGGACAAACAATAGAAAGCGTTACCTAGGAACTTGTACGGTAGGTAGTTGCCCGCATTTGGTCAATTCCATTCATCCTTCCATCTGTCACAATGCTCATTAGGAGCAACTGAGGCTCGAGGGCGGCAGCAGTTATGTAGACCAAATATTGACAAGTCACACGCACACACACACACATATGTATATGTTTTAAAATTATCTTGGGAAGTCCCATTTTAGCAAGACAGGAACTTTTTTCGAATAACTCATCGATTTGATCATCTTTCGTGTGCCCTTGAAAACTCGCAAACGGTAAAAATATTTTATTCCTTGAACGAGACGATTTTCGTTTTTCCATAATAAATAATGATCTTTTCAAAGACATTGCAAAATAGTTAGCAAATTAATGGTTTCAGTTCATACATCTTTCGGAGCATAATTTTCCAAAATAATTCTAATGGGGCGCGCTGAGGCAACAGGGAAATCACATGAAAAAAGCACTTAAAAAGTCATAGATGATAATAGTAGTTAACGTATTTTCATTTATCATTTAGACATACCTGGAGTATATTTCGTTCCTGTAAAATTTTTTTCTCCAATTGAGACATGAATTGCGATAGACATATTTCCAACGAATATTATAACATCAAAATAAGCACAGAAACGCGCTTTGACAGATCAACTCTTTTTGTCGGAAGCATTAGTAGGGCTTGACGATGCACACCAGTTCTTTTGCTTTTTAGAAAGCGCTTGATTTTCAATTCGCACGTATTCACGTAAACTGCTGTATTGTCGACATTTCAACAAGTAGAATCGTGCCAAGGTACTAAGCCTAAAGGGCTCTGAGTAGTTCTTGGGATTACCCGACGCAATGGTTAGCTACTGCTGTCTCAGATGTTCTCGCATCTCTTCCAGCACTAATGCCTTTGATACAATCGCAAGATTGAGCAAGAAAAGGAAAAAAGAAATTACCGCTAGTTCGGGTTTAAATTCAACCTTTTTATAGTACCGCGTTGCTTATTCACTCACCTCAGGTCATTTTCGTTGTATCTTAAAAGTTTTTCTAACTTTTTTTTTGATAACTATCAGCTACTAGCGTTATAATCTTGTCTATTCGTCACTATACCGTGCTAGGCTCGTGCCAGAGTTCTGCTGAAGCTCTTAATTCACGGTCCCTTTTTCAGCACTTTTTACTGACAAAATTTTGTAGATAGGAAGCTTGTGGCAGGTAAAAATCCATTATCACGACGTAAATTGTCGTGCATTGTCGTAAATTGTTGTAAATTGTCGACGTAAAGTGCATTCTGAGAAGGAGAAAAGCTATAGAACAAGCTCAAATAGATCTGAGTCCGAATCCCTTAAGGTAACTACAGTTCTCTCTCAGAAAATGAGAAGAAAATACATTTTTTCTTCCTGCTTGTAGTAAGGCCCTGCGGCCAAGTGCTGTTTAGATAGGTTAGTGAAAACATAACGAATTTCAGCGAGGCCGATCACAGACCGGAGCGTCGTTCAGCGACTAGCTGACATGAACGAAGCTAAAGGTCAGTGGTGCGTTTAATTCAACGGAATCAACTGATATGCCTCCCCACTTCAACTTCTTGTTCAACTACTGTCTTCTTGATTCTCTACCCGACATTGAAAGCGAATCAGACGTATACTACGGCCAAAGAATCCTGCTACTTTGCAACAATCACTGTAGTAGTGGTATGCATAAAATGAACACTGCGTGGATAATGAGATAGAGCCCAGTGTCCTCATCAACGCTACGAAGGGTAACTATGACAAATGTCAAGGCCAACTATCGTCAACGGCGAATGAGTTCTTGGGATATTGTTTTCCAACCACGCCGACGGATGTAGCAGGTTGCCTGTTCCACCTCTACTTTGTTAACCAACTCAGCATGCTCGAAGTTACGTCATTCCAAATAGACGACTGCCAATCACTGCTCCCTTGGAACTGAAGTTAGTTAAGTTATGACTGGCGGCGAAAACGTGCTTGCCTGTTCGCATGGGTTCAGTCAACTATGATTCTCGTTGTGAATTTCTCAAATCAAGCAAAAAAGAAACATTAAAAATCGTATTCCTAGTCGTGTAACGGTACGAACTTATTAAGTTGAGTTCGAAGTTGTAAATATCAGCAAGTGTAAGGGTATCTACGTTGGAAAACGACACTATCGTCCGCATGTATTCGTTTCCCTGAAAGCCTGCTATCTTAAGAATAATGTTAAATCATAAAAATGTTACATTCCGTTCTTAGAAAGTAAACGGACTTATGCCATAGGGACCGCTTCGCGTGTAAATAACATCTAAGTATCTTAACAGAATTCGTAGTAATTTACGAGATACATTACTTATACGGTCCAATTTTATGTTGGGTATTTATGTTTCGCGTTATTTTCAAGAGGCTTTGCAAGCTTGCGCAACTTACGAGTTTCTGCAGAAATCGACAGCGACTACTAATACATTTAACTGCAACAACCTCTGCAAGATACATTTGCACCAACTGCGGAAAGTTACAAGTTTACTTACAGCCAAACAAATGTTGTTATTCAAAATCACAATATCTTCTGGACGGATACCTGTGTACCAGTCATATACACCTTTTTTTACATCAGGAAATGACGTTTGAACGTAGGAGATGGTGAGCTTCTTGTTAGATCTCATATAAGCTGTTTCCATCTCCGGTTTGTCCGAAAAGTTTGGCAGCTTTCACGTCAAAATTCAAGCATATTTATAAAGTAACATTACTAAAGCAAGCAGGCGCCATTTTTATCGATAGCCTTCTGTATATTTCTGGTAGCTTCGTGATCTTATAGGTTTTAGGCATGCAAATGATTTTTTAACCCTTCCGCTAAAACTTCCATTATCTTTCCATTGAATTGAGAGAGATGCGTCAAACATTTTCCACCCACGTTCTCTTAATGTTGCCGAGTAGCTGAAATGTATGTAGTTTACTCTGAAGCTACCTAGCTAGAGAAATGCTCAATACTTTTTTGACAACTTAATACAAATACACGGGGTGCCTTTGGTAATAGTCGGGGTGAGTGACACTTAAGTTCGTTTAAAGCAGGTGGAAGCTCGAATGGATGGCCATTTGAAGACCATTGAAAGAAGAATCATTTGAAAGGCTGTTCCGAGAGCAAATATGCGATTTGGAGCATGTTACTCGATTAGAACTAATGTAGCTTATTGAGCCCAGCTTATCGTGACGTTAGTGGTAAGCGCTTGCCTATCTACCGAGGTCGCATTAGCCGCCCCTAACAGTTCCTTTCAATCATTTCATCGTTCAAAAACCAACAAATAGAACAACACCATATTCCATCATTCCATGCATTTAGATCCAAGTAACACACTTGCTTTAAGCACTCTAATTTAATCAAAGTGATATTTGATAACTCTTATAAGCCAAACAATGAAGTCGGCAAAAACAGTTATCTATATTTGTGCTCAACAAACGGTGCCCCAACAGGGACTAGTGTAAGCCAAGGCAGGTTTTCAAACTACGAGCTTTTTAGACGCAACAATTTTAATATACGCTACTAGAGCTGGAATTACCGCGGCTGCTGGCACCAAACTTGCCCTCCAGTAGTTCCTCGTTAAAGGATTTAGAATGTACTCATTCCAATTACGAAGCCTCATGAGAGGTCCCGCATTGTTATTTTTTGTCACTACCTCCCCGTGCCGAGATTGGGTAATTTGGGCGCCTGCTGCCTTCCTTAGATGTGGTAGCCGTTTCTCAGGCTCCCTCTCCGGAATCGAACCCTAATTCCCCGTTACCCGTTACAACCATGGTAAACATATAATATACCATCGACAGTTGATAGAGCAGATACTTCGAAGGAATAGCACCAGTTTTATGCTGAAATGCTCGGCAAAGTTACTCAGAATCATCAACAGAAGTCCGAAGACATGGTTTGCACTAATAAAAGCACATCCAGCAAGCTGAACGTATATGTATGTATTAGCTCTAGAATTACCACAGTTATCCAATTAACAAAACACATCCTATGAAATTATAACTGATTTAATGAGCCATTCGCGGTTTCACCATTCATAGGTATGAACTTAAAACATGCATGGCTCAATCTTTAAGACAAGCATATGACTGCTGGCAGGATCAACCAGTTTTACCTTATCTACCGAGGTCGCATTAGTCCTATTGATACAGACTAACTACGAAACGTTAATGCCCTGTTGAAGTCAGTCATCGTACGTCAACACGTACGTGGGTAGTGTCGAAACAAACGATTCCCGGCTAGGCAAATTTTCGACATCATTGGGAGGGGGGGGGGGGGTCAGTTCGGTCGACAAAACTTTTGTTTCAAAGAGAGTAGTGACGACGTACGTCTGACTACGGTCTTCTTTATCTTATGCAAACATATGCATCTAGGCTAGGTCTCGCAGTTTGTGTTTATCTGAATAGCAAAATTTACAATCATACTTGACCGCATTAAGTCAATTCTGAATGTCCGGCTTAGCTTCACATGTGTAATTTTTTGACAAATAGCACTATGGATATGTTGGACCGTATGGGAGGAAAAATCGAAAAGTTATAGCCAGATAGATATAAATAATGCCAACTGTAGAGAAATTACATTAAAATATAACAAGTATAGAACAATACAAGACCACCTACCACTGAGCTTGCCCTCCAACGATAAGCAAAATTTTAAGGGCTATTCTCTTGTGCAGGTTACATTTTTCAATAGCCCCTGCCATGATCATTCCCGCCAAAAATAGCATGATTGAATCCTGAAATTACCGGTATTTGTAAAGAAAATAACGGTTAAATTGAGTGATATTTTTCTATGATATGCTAATGTATGATATATATAAAATTAAAAGAGTGAAAATTGCATCGTTACGTAGCTATTGATGACGCACTATCTAAAAACTCATTTATAAATACTTCATTGCATAGTCGAAAGTACTACCTCATATTGTCAAAGACGCTTAACTAATGCACAAGTTTATGGCCATTTCCTCCTAAACATTTTATTGCCACCAAAGGAGAGACACTGAAATATCATGACTGTTTATAGGCCATTCAGACACAGCTGAATCTATCGCTGAAAAGGATCGGGATTGCTTCTTCTTAGAGGCCTGTGAGATGGCATGCTATTAACACTAAAGGGTAAATATATATAATAACATGCTATAAATATGTTATTGCATATATTATATTTGGCTGTCGACAACAAATTACCGCTTTGCCTGTCTAGAGTTATTCACCCTAACGAGGCCGGCACCCTAACGAGGTTTAACAACGGAACAAGTACTAAATGCATTTGGTGCCAAGTGATCACACGATTTTTTTGTTCATTATAATTTACCAGTGTTTAAGAAGTAATGACGATTTAAAAGTCATCCATATTTAAAAAGCATTCTATGTGACGTGCCTTCATGTACGGTAGTGAAGCGTCAGACGTAGAGATAACGCCTAACAGTGGAAAAAGACAGACTGGCAGTAATGATGTAATAGAAAGAGGCATGATTTCGAACATCCAGTAACCAGCCATCAGAGCTATAACGTAAGTACATCGCGCTTCCTGAAATCACGTACACGTAGAGGGAGCTATGTTATAGTTCCGGAGTAATCGGTTGGCGGTAAACGGCAACCGACCAACGTAGTGCTTTATGAAAATGCCGAAAGAAAAAAAACTCGGCAACATTTGTTAGTACTATTAGCGGCGGCTAGCTCACGTGCAATTTTACCTGCTGGAGAATTTTTTTTTTAGCTTACCTCACATGCACTAATGCCATTGAACGTCGATAACACTACCAGACGGGCTGATATATAATGATAATCATTCAAAGCGTCTCTGTAGTAAATTTGTATTTAAAAATTACACATAAATTAAATCGTGATGAGAATAAGTCATTTTTGTACAAGGCAAAAATTGCGAAAGTCTCAAGTGACTGGTCATTTAGTGAATAAATTAGAATGATAACTTCTAAACGCCTATGGTCTTCCGACGTTCTAGAGAGATAATGCTAAACGTGCTAGATTTCCTACCAGCTTCGAAAATGATTCTTTCCGAACTAGAGACTTTCATGTGAACTCAACGAAAAGTACCTCTCGTAATGGAATAGCAGAGCTTTTATGTGAATTTATTTTTCGCGGATTCTAGCTTAGAGTTTTGCGGCCATTTTCCTAATTTCTATCTAATTCACCTCGGGTTTTGCAATTTGCGTAAGTAGCAAAGCGAGCACGCTGATAAATCACGCGTACCACCATATCACTATTTTTAATGTTTTATTACAATCATATCGTTGTAAAACGGTGATGACCTAACGACAAAATGTACGTTCGTATGCTTGAAGGTTTAAACTTCTCGCAGTCACATCAATAGAGAGGCTCCATATGCACGCCAAGTGAGTCATATAACAATGCAGTTAACTGGCCGAAGTTCCAACAACACTGGTTAAGAGGTCGTCGACCCACCGCTGCTTATGTCGGCCATCGTAGAGGCAAAAAGCACCTCCTAACAAACGATAAGAAAGCAGGCCCCGTTTGGTCAAGCAGCATTAACTGCTCCGGGCGAAGTATAGAAAAGGGTAGAAATAAGCTAAACTTAGTCACATCCATTATCATAGGAAGAGTTTCACTACAACGGAATGATAAACTAATAAGCATATTGTTCTTATGAAAAACATTTTAAATGGCATATTTACAGCAAGATGACTTAAACTTGACTAGAGATCTTGTTTGCTTCTACGTCTGCATACGTTCTGCCCTAAACTCATTCCACTGGCAGCAAGCTTAAAAACGAACTATTGAGCGTTCGGTGTATCCGCTTGTTTTTTAGACACTTTTTGTCTGTTTGACGCTATCAGGATGTCGTTAAGCATTCTAGAGCAGACGTTTTTTGTTCGCAGGGAAAACCATTACGCCCTTGTGAAGCTTTGTGAAATCCACTAAATTTAAGTCGACTATTCGGAACGACAGTAGATCAACTATGTTTCTGGAGATTCACTTCAGACCCGTGGTCAACGGTTGCAGATTATGCCCAGTCCCAATGTGTTAAACCTACGCGCCGTTGCTGTCAAGGTAAAAGCTATAAATGGGCCATTTATCGAGCTGTGTTTGCTTTCGGTCTACTGAAGCCTTACTCGTCACATGCCCACGACCACCAGATATCAACTGCGGATATTGAGAATCACTATGAAATATCGAAAACTGACTTCGAATGAACTGAGACCAGAAGAAAACGAGCCCAAAATGCTCCGATTACGCGCTCATTGGATCTAGATTCGAATCATTACTAGCTAAAAATTATTATACATGAAATAAATAAAAGCAAGAGTACTTTGTAAACAAATAAAAACTCAATGAAGGTCTTTATCGAATATAGGACGCATTTCAACCCTATACGTACCCTGGTTCCGTACAGAAGTAAAGGGCACAGTAGCACAGGTATAATAACAGCTACAAGACACCGTAGCTTCGGCTTCACCGATTGCCAGGTAATCTTCATTCTAAAACGGAAAGGAAAAAATAATATAACATCTCTTTTCAAAATACGCGTACCTACATGTAAATATAGCAATGCAAGAACTGATCCATTTTATTGCGACAGGTAATCGTTGTGGCAAATCTATGAGTAAAATTAGTCTCGTACGGTTTTCGGTATTTCCTAGATTTTATAGGAGAGTATAAGAAAGATATGCTAGAAGAAAATTTATATGATGATGTTGCATGGAGATGTGTCACCATGCAACTCAGCTTATTTTACCTATAGAGTGCGTTTTTACATAAAGTCAATTTGCGATCATTGGGTTGTTGCTCTAATAATTTTTATTCTGTTATTCCAGGTCCAGATGTATTTAAAACATGGATTACATAACGCAAGTGAGTATTTTAGTTTTTTTCAGGCAAGTGGCTTACCAGTGTTTGTTTAGATGTTCCATATATATATATATATCGAAACGTTACGTGCATACACACATCTCAAGATGCTTTTCCATTTCGGCGTTGGTAATCGAGAAGAGAACTAGATACAAAGTTTTGTCAGCGGCCGTACCTTTCGTGCTAAGGTCCGGACCCACTTCGGATTGTCTCCAAGGGACAATCCTGAGTCCTCATAGATATATTTTGTAGTGCACATATTACTTGCATTGTATTTTACTTTTCTAGTGTATGCAGATGATATAAAAACGTGCGCAAGGCTCGACGAAAAACAATGGTGATATGCTGTTGCAAGATACAAGTGACGAAAAGATTCGATTTGAAAGAATTTGTTGAAAAACAGTGTGGTGCTACACCCTGAACATCAACAACCCAGTCAAGTATTTTTCACGTGCAGACCCAATTCTGCCCACGACATGAGGGCTGCCATAACAGTTTCCCACAGATATAGTTCTCTGCGCAGTACACCATTCTTTAGAGTGGTAAAAATATATATATATATGTGCCTTGCATCCTCAACATACATGTTGAGCTACACACGACGCACGCAGCATCTACGCAGGTGTCGAAAATGAACAAAATCAAGATGAGCTGCCATGGAGAAAAAAGGGCACCATTAACAGAAAAATTCAACCTCACTGGCAAACGAACGTTTCAATGCATTGACAAGCACCTTCATAATTAGAAACAGGGACGTTCGACCAAGTCGAGGTGCGGATCTAACAACAATATTTTTGTCAAAGCTTGTTATCTCGCAAAAGCGATATGTACAGATTTCACTATTCCCATCGAGGGTGTGTGGTGCGCCGTGCAACAAGTCTGCATCCAAATAGCATCTGCGCACCACTGGAATAAAACCGTCGAATCGATTTGATTTATCATTATATCAACGGACATTTGCCGGTCTTCTTTATAATTGGTTTTCATTTCTGATTCGCTAAATAGGTCATAATTCCACTATTCAGATTATGTCTAGCTATTCCGAAACATCCACTAGCCAGTCTAGATTATGACACAAGTTTGACACTCAATCTTTGTGCCTTTTTTTCTTACCTTGTTTATCATTTCAAAATGAGAGCTTCTATCTAAATCCGGGTTTGTGCGAAAACATTCTTTCCAAAGGGACAAATTTTTACTGATCTCTCATAGGGTCGTGTATCTTTCCAAGCCTTTTACATGAACTGACAGTCAAAACTTTTCTCCAGTCCTAGCCAAAATCTATGAAGCCTGTAAGCGCTTGGCTGCTCCTTACTCCGCCATTTTTTCTTTCGGTGTTTACTCTTTATTGAGTTGATGCGTTCTCCTACTGTAGAGAACAACAGTTCATAGATTTTATCAAAAACTATCCGGATCCTTTTCAGTTCGATACTCTATGGTTCAGATAGTATAGGATAAACAACTATATACGTTACATATTGTTGTGCGGTATGGATGTGGGTAACATCGTATACATGAAAAAGAGGTCAGCTTGAAGTGTTAGGTGTATGCTGGTGTTAGAAGTATTTGTTGCCTTATATGGTTTGGTGTTTGGAGCTTACGGCCATGTCAGCTTAGCGCATGCTTTGAATCCACGTTCGTGGCACGTACGTTTTCGATCAATGGGTGTATGTGAATTTTGTCATTGAAAACACTTCATTCGTCACAGCCACAGATATAGTTGTAACCTAGCGATATGGGGTAAAAAGTGTTTCTTTAGATATATGCATGCAAATATATAAAAGCAATGCACAATATATAAAAGTGTGTTTTTTGTTAGAAAAACGAGTATCGTTGCAGTTGAAGTAACGTCGGTTCAGAATGAAGTCAACTATTTCGTAGCTTCAAATGTATCTTTCCGTTGAACCGATAAGTAATTTGCTTTCTAGCTTTTGATCAACGTTACCTCCTTCGTTGCTCTGTCTGCACATACGTATGCAATACTTTTAGACTGATCGCAGGCTTTTATTATTATCGGGACACTCTTACTACTGGTATTTGTAAAAAGATGCAAAGGCGAATCCTGAATGTAATCAAGTATGCTATACTTGATCAAATCTCCATACCTGATGCTACATGTTGCAACGTAGCCATCCAGTACGAATTCAGCCATCTTTAAAACCTGAACTCTTATAATGATTCTCCTTACCAGAAGCATTACACAAGCCCGAATAGAAAATTCCGGAAGAGAAGCAAAACTCCACGGGTACGGGTGGGTGTGTACCCGGTACACTATCAAGTTCCTCATAGAATTTTTCACAGTTATTTTGATTGACCCTATATACAGTTATATCATAGAGATCCTTTTTACTGCACAAAATTGCATGCTCTATCCTCTGCCGTTTGGAAAAGTAGCAAACTAACTTTCTCGAAATGCAATAGGAGACCTTCTGGTGTTCTCGCCAACCTGATCAAGAATCAGCTGGACTGATTCTTGATCAGATTTATATATACGCTTATACGATAAAACCTGATCAGCTATAACTAAATATTCCTAGTAATCTTCATTTTAACTTCCTTTGTAATATCGAACTTTTACTGATTTCTCTCGTTTAGTCTCAACTGGGTCTTCCAATCTGTTCTAAGCAAGCGTCCTTTCTTGAGATCAAAAAGCCGGTAAAGCTGAATTTAGCACACTTTCACATAAGACTTAGCACATTTCCAATGTGCATTGACTGACTACGAATGAGGATACTCGCATTAGACAAAAATAGTTCCACGATGGCCTGCGCCACATGTGACAACGGCACTACGACAAGAGGCCTACTGGAAATGGCCCTTCCTACCTTAGCTACCCTACTACCAATATGTCGGCAATTGTGATAGACTAATGAAAGCCTGCGCATCATAATATTCAGATTTTACCTATGGACTCGCACTCGGAAGGTTTCACCGTTGAGTAAACTAAGTATAGCCATAGGCAATATCATACTAGTGAATATATTAAACTCAAATGTACAGTTGTCAGGCTCTTACCATCGGCGTCAACTAGATCAAAGATAATGAGGATCAACACAAAAAAAAATAACAGAAATTTGATTGGTTCGCAATGTTTTCAGGCCGACTTGTCGTCAATACATTACCAACCAATTAAATGTTGTTTGGCTAACATATTTTTTAATAATGAACCAAAACCAGCTAAATAACACACACATTTTCTATCAAGTTTGAACGGTACTAGTATTTCTGCACGATTTACCTTAGAAATAATTATCTCAAGCTTCTAATGAGTAAGTCGAAGCCCTGTCGAAGCTTGCACGATTTCATTCCATTTTCGACGGACACCCACGGCCTACATCTGATTTGCATTCCTGGTTGTTATTCGCTGGGAAATACTATAAACCACATCATACTTTAGCTTTTTTTTAATAACAAAGCATTTGTAAAAATCAGCGCGGTTGGTAACCATCAAGTAACGCACATGTAATTCCCTTTGTGTGTACACGTAGGTTGGTGCGTTTAATAACAATCTGTGGGCTTATGCAGAATATTATTACTCAATAACGTGTCTGAACAAGGATGTGTGTGCGTATGTCTATGCATGTGTGTATACAGGATAAAGGCTTGCCAACAAGTTAAATACGCCTGGGGGTCCAGTGTAAGGGACGTACTTTAAAATACTTACGAATTCAACCCACCAATGCAGCCATTCTGTTCTAAATAAACTTCGTAATCATCAATCGTAAAGCATCCGGTATTTGATTTTGTATCCGAAAGATTTAGCCTTCGCCGCGTCGACCGAATTCGGCGAGGCTAAGCGTGTACAAATATTTTACTTAGGCAATCAACTAACACAATAGGCCTTCAATGTTGCTACACACAACAGAGTTGAAGAACGAGAGTGACTCTAGACTGTTTCTAATAACCTCGTACAGAGAACTACGCTTTCATTTAGATCTGCTCAGCTGCTGTAAACATTTCGACGAATCAAATGAAAAAAACATAGGAACGTCGAACGGGCCTTTGAAAAGAGCTAACAATGAATCGTCAAATAGTTCACAATTACTTTTTACTGGTGTTCGTTGTGTTATACTGCGAAATGTATGAGCTTGTAGCTGACTCAACCTTTTAGCTCTTATGGCTCTTTTGAGTGACACCTTGGAAAGTACAAGATAAAAAACTTTTTTTAAAGACGCAACTTCTCATGTTGGCTGAGGTATCGAAAGTTCAGGTAAATGAGCTCAGTCTCCTAAACGCCAAAAGGGGACTCTTGGCCTACTTTTTGTTTAGATTTTTGGCCTGTTAGTTTAATATTCACAATAACTATTCAATTGAATAGTGACGCGTTGAAACGCACGTCAGCGAGTACAACCCGTTTTCATTAAGTGACGCAGCTGAGTACCGTTGAAAAGAGATACTCTTCAGTGAAAATAGCATACAATATATGTCGTTGCTATTCAAACTGCAATGGCATTTTATCCGTTTTTCTTTAGTCTGCTCATTGTGATCTGCCTTTATGTGCCAGGTACCGCAGCAGCTCTTCATGTTCATTTTTGCTGAAAACTATGAAAGGTCCGACAAATAGTTACTCGGTTTCACCTACATCTATCCTCGATGGTGTCCTTCTGCATTTGAGCCCTACTATGTTTCAAAGGGCAGTTTAGCGAAATCTTTTCGCATCTGGACGTTCGCTACCTTTTAAGCGTTACTGTGCCCAAGAATCAAATGAGTTCATGCTTTTTCACGCCTCTGATCTCTGATCTCTGAATGATCTCCTAGCAAGCAACAGGATCCGAACTACTTTTGCATCGCTCTGGCAAAACTTAGCTTTTATTTTCAGCTAAATCTCTATACATCGCACACCAGAGACCATGCCATCGAATCGCAATTACTTTAGGTAAAGCAGCTTAAATGTATGCATAGTTAATATCATTTTCAACTCTTCCTCGTTTTTATTGTAGACCAATTAGTTCGTAGCACATTCTAGATCGTACCGATGCGTTTTCGAGGAATTCTCAGAGGCTGTCGGACCGAAGCATATATGTCACACTTCAGCAAGCAATTTGTCTTGACTGAGCTCACTGATCTAAAGTGGTTCTTATTTTCATACTGTAACCCTCTCTGCCCTAGTAGATGGCATAATCTTAAATACTGTAATAACTAATATATACAGTCATATTACCGTTTTGTTTACACGTAGTGGACGTTGGACGTTTACACATCTATTCGTTTATAAGGCAGGACTATCAGATTGTTGCTTATTCACAGCCGAAGAAATTGTTGTCTGTAAGTGCTTACAAAACATGCCTTAATGTGTCCTAGGCTCGTAAAATCTGCACCGTACTAATAGGTGTTCGATAAAAAATTAAATTCTTGTTTTCTTACTGGCAGCCGACTTTTGCCCGAGTCCTATGAACCGTGCGAAGTCGGCCAGATTGTATACGAAGTGAGTCAATAGGCTATCGATTGTCAGATGTCGTCTTTAATAATAGCGTTAATATTACTTAATGCCACTGCTACGTACTGTGCAAAGCATAGCTGACCGATGCTAGCAGAACTAGATTCAACCTACAACGGATCCGACTTACCTGAACGTTAAGACTGCCAAATACGTTCACTGTGGCCACTACTCTTCCGTCTCTATAGGTTTACATGCGTACAAGCTAATTGCAGGCTGTTGTTCATTAGATATCAATGAAACTGATCCGCTCATGATATTTACAGATAGTTAAATAAAACATTTAAGAAAAACGTCTCCTCCACGTCGCGAGTAGGATTGTGACCTCATAAGCTTCCATTAATGCTTGAACAACCAGTACAGTTACAATGTTTCCGATAGAGATCCTTGCTGACATGGGGTCACCGTATTTTTCAAACTTTTTTTAGGTTTCAATTTTTTGTTCGCAATGCAGCTGCTTAAAAGACTGCCCCTACGTCTATTTTATACAAAAATTGTATGTATATACATATATATATGTATATATGGGTCAGCTGATATAATAACCACTTTTTTTAATTGCACGCTAAAAGCGCATATTACGCGTCTGCAGTTAACGTTCGTCTCAGAAGAATAAACAATTTTGTCTGACGGCGCCTGTATATCTGCTTACGTTTGATAAGGACGTATACATGTTCAGTTAAATAACCACGACAAACAAAATTACTGTTGTGGTAATTTTTGTTCAGGATTTTTTTCGAAGTGTATCCGAAAGGCCTATACACGACCAAGCGAAGGAAGTATGCGGCTGCTGAGCTGCTTATGTCGTAAACAAACCCGATCCATCTCTCTGAAGATGATTACTTGGATTAACCATGTCCCAATGAGTACGTGTCCTCTTGTTTTGTTATCGCTTTATTGCCGTTTATATGTTCTATCGTCCTAGAGATTAAGAAGCAGAGAGAGGTAACTGTGGAAATGGGAAGGGGCCTTCCTTGTGTGGGCCAGCCGTGCATGCATCATCGATAACCGTCTTTGCGCCTGTAGAACGAGTGTCAGTTTCTGACTGGCTGATTTTTTGGCGTTGAATCAGTTTGGAAAACGAGTAAATTCTTATGGATCAGCTGACGGAAGCCCGGTCGCTGCTGCTTTTTTACAACCACAGCGCCCCTCTCTTTTCTTCCTGATTGCCCCCGACTATTAGATGGTGGCAGCTGATTTCAATGGGAATTTCCATTGTTCTTTCGTGTCCTAATTCGTTTTCTCCTTTTGTGCCGCTTGTTATTTGTCGAGGTTTTTCTCTACCAAAGCCTCTGCCCCCGAACACCGTTCTGATGAGATTTTAGTGTTAATGCCCGTAGTTCCAGCGGCCAGAACGAAACAGATAGTAAAAATGCCATTTTTACAGTTAGCCCCCAAGCCCTCCAGAAAGGAAAACTTTTCTAGCCCTTTTACGGAGTAGTGCGTTACCCTCCTTTTTCCTTCTATGTATTCTCCAACTGAAATTGCCAAATGCGCCTCAATTCCTGTCCGTTCCTCACTGATTCGTTTTTCAGTTCGAGTTCCGTGTTGTCGATCGAGATGATGATTATTGTGGACCTGCTCGGTGTCTCTGCCATTGTAACAACAATGAATAGTCGGTAAAGTTAGCGACTATTACTCACTGTTATTGGTTGTCATACCACAGGCAGCGATACTGGTGACTCTCGATTTGGCTTGCCTTCTTCGACACTGGAAAGGGAGGTCAAGGACGTACCGGCCATCTTTCTTTTGATCGACGTTTGAGAGTTGCCAGGGGACCTTTGTGATTAACAAAAGTACAAAATAACCACACACAAATAAAAGCACGCGTTGTTGTCGAGTGCTTTTGTCCTCATTTCAGCTATTGCAGTTGCCTCAGGCCAGCATCTAGGGGAGCCCGATGTGACATTTCAGTAAAAAAAGGGCAAGCGAACAAAGTAGACACAGTGTGCCAACATTTTTGGGTTCCTGACAAAAACTGAGATAATGTTTCCAACGAAAGGACGGAAAAGCGACCAGAAGTACTGTCAAGGGGTGTCTATATTTAGCAACCTTTCTGAAGGACGGGGCCTATGCATATATCGCTTGCGTTACAGCAACTCAGACGACGATATCTCGATGAGGCGGTATAGTTCACAGTATAACCCTGCTCTAAGGCTATTCACTATTGTCAGTAAAACGCTGAGAGACTGAAAGCGGTAAGCAGTATTGACAGCAACGACAGCGAGAGCAGAATCAGCGATATATCGTTGACTGTGGTCGGACCACATGAATTCGTTACACAACAAGTTTAACATATTAACGAAATTAACAAATATAAAGAATAACACAAAATTAACAAATCCAACCTACTGTACATGGACAAATATTTACAGGACGCTATACCACTGATAGGTGGTTGCCTTATCAAAAAACCGAAAGTATCGTAAAGCAGCTTATTTTTAGTTTATCTCGAAATCTATTTACATAAGTAATTAAAGTTTATGATTGAATCAACCTTCGGCGAGTGACTGCAATTATTACGCGAATAAGAACGTACTTTTCAAACAACAAACTTAGCATTCTGTGAAGCTATAAGCTAGAATAAAGCATGTACTGTATCTTTTTACCAACCCCTGTGTATATAGACGGCGTTATTTAACTAAAAAGACTGTAATTGTACATTGTGTTCGTAGTATATGCCAACAATGGTTATTTTCAGAAGCGAGTAAATACGAGTGACGTACCTACTATAAAAGAAAAAGATTAGGAGAAAAAATCGAGCGAGTCTATGCTTAAAGATAAATAATAAATAATAGAGAATTCGATAATCTACTAGAATGTACATTTTGTGCTTTTACTAGTTTAAATAAAACGCAAAAGGAAAATGTTCAGTATTTACAAAATAATTTTAGAGAGTCGTTGTAGAGTCAGTAGCCGAGAAATTCAGCGTCGCTAGATAAGTACTAACAGAGAAGCCGGATACCACATTTACCTTATTCATATATGTAGATATTTTCATTGTTCGTATATGCGCAAATATAGTGTACGTAATATGGTCGCTATATAAGCGTATCATGCTCACAATGCTTCTGCAGTGAACACCAATATTGCTGGTACGCATAGCTTTCGCGTGAGTAAGTTCGAAGTTAAAAAAGAGCCAGTCAATTGAACTTATTCTAAGCATTATACGCCAAGTACTATCTACACTGGCTACGTCGTAGACGCTAGAATTCTTTTTTCTTGTATTGTAAATATGTGTTTTTTGGGTTTGACTACTAACTTAACGATTATTATGCGTCTCTAGGCTACGGTGACTTAAATGGTGTATTCGGAATGCCCAGAAACCATCTTCTTTGTGGTACTAGGCCCTTGCTGTACTACGAACTAGTAGAGCATCCCTAATTCCACTGATAAAAA